CCGTGACATATTGGTGGGTAGCTCTCCGCGTCGCGCCATCCATACTCCCCCCGTCCCAGCACCGCCAACGCGTCTACCAGCGCGCACTCATAATCCTCCACCTGAACCCGCTGGTCCAGCAGCTCAATGCAAAAATCCAAACATGCCATCTGGATCTTGGTTGATTTGAACTTATCTTCTTCTTCTGACTGCGTATCTCTCTGTCCCTTCTCCTCCTCCTCTTCTTCTTCCTCAGTCATCTGCTCATCCATGGGGTCTGGGCTGATGGGGTGTCGCTGGTCGGCTCCCTCTGTGGTGGCTACCTGCCATAATACCCTCCATGTCTTGCGCTGCCGTGGTGTGAACCGGTACTGTGGGCTCGTCCATTCATGCTCGACCTGCGTTCGGGCGAAAAACATCAACATCTGCTGCCATGGCCTCACGTGCTCGGCGATGCTCTCCTCATCCATGTATGCCTGCAACGGGGTGTGCCGGGTCTGGTGTCGCTCTGTGCGGATGGCCTCGATGCGGACGAAGTGGCCCAGCCGTGTGATGACTCGCTGGCTGGTACGGGCAACCTGCCCCATGGCCTCCCGATGGCCCTCGCGGCCAGTTCATCTGGGCACGTGGTGTCATCCTCGGGCCGCTGCACGCAGTTGACCAGATCATTGGGTGCGATGTTGGTCAAGTACACCGGCCATCTGGTCCGCCGCAGCCATGGGTTGGCTTCATCGTGCTCCCCGGCCTGGATGACATTGCTGGTCTGCCGTTGCTGTTCCTGGTAAAATCGCTCCAGCTCATCAATGGCCTGGCTGGCTCTGTTCTGGTCTGGCGTGCCGGTATGCTCAGTAGTCTCCTTAGTCTGGATCTGTATGTAGTGGGAGCCCTTGCGCGATGCAAATATCTGCTGGAACTGCACCTTCTGGCATGATCTGTCCACCTCATCCTGTGCTGCGTACGCTTTTGTGGCGCTGTACGGCACGGCTGGGATATGGCGACCAGCTGTGCTGTCTGCCAGTGCTTGCGCATGGTGTTCATGTTGCTGCCACATACTGGCACTGAGGATCCCGCTGGCACCTGTAGCCATCTTGAATGGGTAGTTCCGGGATTGGTTCATTCAGTATTGTGGGCAGTGTTAACTGTGTAGTATGTGGGCAGTGTTAACTGTGTAGTATCTCGAGCCACATTGTCCCACTGTTCAATGTTCTCCTTTATCTGCTGAACCACCGCATGCTTTAGCTGATGGGCCTTGCCTTTCAGATGCTGTTCAATCTCTGTTGGCCACACAGCGTGCTTGCACCGGCGGCATATGATAATGAGGTATGATTCACAGTGGATAAATAATTGATGTTCCATGTCGATGCTTGGTCTGTCTTGTGCATTGAATATATATATATTTCCTTCATTCAGTGTCTTTGTGTGAAACTTGACAGATCTGATCTGGTGTGAATGTTTGTTTTTCTGTGGTTAAAATCACTCCAGAATGAAGCCTTTCAGTTTTCTTATATGATTTGCTATTTTTATTTACTTTGTTGATCTTGCACCGCTTTGCACCGCTCTGTTGCCTAGGTGAAAATATATATATATAGTTGGGTCTGGTTGGGTTGGTGGCTTACCCTATCAAACATCGCACCTCAACTCATTGATTTTGACACCACAATTTAACCCCTTCCCGGCGGAATTATCGCTTTTAATTTGGATATGTTGTATTCCATATCCACTACGGCCTACATGCGAAGTTTGAAGTAATGGGGTGGCTGGCTGCCGCAGAAGGGAAGGAAAGGGGGAGCTCGACCGCGACCGGGCCACTGCGGGCATTGGAAGGCCGTAGCGGGAGCACGCTATGCCGGCCAATCCTGGAGGGACAATATCGGAGGGGGGCGCGTCTGACCGCACACTATAGTATAATTGAAGCCTCATTCTTGGTGATGCTTTCATTTCTGTTGTTATCTGTGCTCTTGCTCACACTTCTGGCCCTTCTGGGACTGCATGTGCTGTTGAA